CCTTGCGGTGTCTGTGCTGTTATGTTAGGTGTGAACTGTGGCCCGGTGCAGCGTTGGGTAACACTCTAGATTGCCTAAGCCAGTTGTTGTGATGATGTCGTAACAAGTTGGACCTGGCCAGGGTTTGGCTGTCATGTGAGCCCTTGTTCTCTTTCATCAGGGCACAAGTGTGTGTGTTTACTTGTGGGAGCCATTACCATAAAGGACAAGAAATTGTGCATTTTACGACTGTATGTGTTGGAAGCTATAGGAGGGGGCAGACAGGTCAAAGGTCTTCTTCTCTGACTCACAGCCTGTGGAATTTTCACAAAACGAACACAGGATGCCTGAACATGCTTCACACTCAGCAGGAAATGATAGTTCATTAAAAAATGAGAAGCGGACATCGTACTCATGAATTAACCCTTCACTGCAATAGAAAGGCTGCAGGAAGTACAGAGATGTGGGGTTTTCCCTCCATTTTTCATTGATTTGTCAGTTTATCCCTCAAGCTCATTTCTTTCCTGATGATTGATTTTGATTTATTTTTTAAGCTTGTTTTCCTGATTTCTGACACTGCTGGTGAAAGGTCTATCATTTGTACCCAATGCTGGAATAGCTTCAGTGCAAAATATGTGCATTATATTTCCTCTGCCATGAGACTAAATGTGTAGCTTTTGTTCCCTCATTTTATTTTTTGAAGTTATACATTCGGAGCAGAGGATGCTGTTTTTTTACCTGCAGCCCAGCAGTGAACTCCCAAAGATCCAAATACTGTATTTGCTTATTTTTCTTCGTTTGACAAATTAGGTAAACTTAAGTGACTGAAAATAAATATCTGTTCGTCAACTGTAATTGTAAAGTTTTTTTTTCCTAGCAGAGATGAGTCGCTTGGTCCTGTCAAGAAGGGAAAGTGGGTAGGGGTCACAGATCCCCACAAATCTTTAATAACCCCTAATTATTTGTTTTTGTACAAATATATAATTTCATATTTATATTTCACAGTTTGATAATGACAACACAATAGCTGTTTTACATAAAGAAATAAGTGCATCTGTTATATAATGCTCTAATTATAATAACTTTGATAATAATAATAAAATGTTTTATTTATATAGCACTTTTCATACAGCACGTGCAGCTTAAAGTGACAAAATGGCACACATGACACAGAAGTTAAAAATAAACCACAAGATATTCCCCTCAGATCAGATGTTAAGACCTTTTCAGATACATGCAGCATAACAACAAAATATACAATTTTAACAGGTTAAACGAAATGTGAAGTCCACTGACAGCACTCTGATACAATTTGTCAAAACCTTTTGTATTCCTCAATGATTTGAAAAAAAGGGAAAGTCCTGAGTTTAAAGACAGTGTAGGATGGGACTGTGTTTTCCATCTGTATCTCCGAGTAAAATATGTTTATTGTCAGAAATATTAATCAACTGCATCGGGTCACTTTGCATTTATTCTCAGATGAAGTGGTATTCCCCTCTCAACACAGTCATTTTGCATACCTCAATGGCACCGTATTACAAACACTCAAGAGTTTGTACAGACGGGCAAAGTCAATTTATTTGTATTTTCGGTTTTATTAGAAATCATCATACATCCAGGTTTATATCTGCTACAACTAAACTCTCTTCACACATGAAGTCTAATCAAACTAAACTCTCTTCACACATGAAGTCTAATCATGTCAGATATTTACAAACAACTTCGTTCCTCTAAATATTTTCATTACAATGTTTGCTTCTCTATATTACATTGGATCAATTCATAAATACAATTTAATTGAATTAGTCTTTTTTGTTGGACTGCAAAATGTCACACATTTTTAAAGATGAAATAAATGATGTTACTAAATGAAGATCACTTTGATCATTGCCTCTTCATATGTAGAAGCCTACACTTACATAGATTCATGTTTTTATTAGTAACATTGCACACAATGAGGTGTTTGAAAATATGTTCAGGTATAATAATTACACATGTCAAATTGATAATAAGCCACACATATTTACTGATCATCATTTTCGTAACCCAGGAAAGTGAAGCGTGTCCTTTTCTGAACAACTTCTGGAAGTAATTTGATCAATTTGAGAACAACTGTTCTAAAGTGTGATAGGATCTACACATGCAGGCTTTATAGTTTTTAGTTGTAAAAGCAGCTACTTTTTTAGACTTTTCATTATTTTTTTATTATTATCCATTTCAAATAGCCCATATAGTCATATCTTATAGATCAGTTCGGAGTAACTGCAATGTTTCAAATACTTGGTAATACATGTCAATTTATATGTTTTGGATACACACCCACAGAAATGAGAATTGTAATAAGAAATACGTAGAACCATTTTTACTGCTTATACTTTTTTTGTATTGATATACAGCATTGAATCAAGTTAAAATCCAGTTTCTGTCCTTTAATGCCTTCCGAAATGCCTAGAAACAGTTTGAAGACAAGGACAATAAATTACTTTATAATAATAATATAATGCACATTTATGTCACTGCTGTTTTCAGCCGATTCAAATAGAGACTCTATTTATTTTCTTAATGACTATTCCTGCATCTTTATATTTAATTGGAACTAAATGATATGATGCATGCTCATCTAGTTAATCTACATTTTGTACCTAGTAACGATCACCATAAATTGAGACATGATTGTTTTCACGAATAAGCCTTTAAAGTTCAAACAGACATTGTTATAGAGCATTTAGAGTTAAAGCACACAGATTTTCTGCTTTTTAAAAAGTGCTGTAAATACTTTCGTTCAAATGTATGTCTCTTCTGACTCCTCCAGAACAAAGTGATTACCGAGAAAAAGAGAGGAGTTTTGTGTTTCACTGAAACCTCAGGATTTTACCAAACCCTTTGTTAATGTATGTTCAGTGGCTCCTGAGTAAATAGCTCAGGTTTACTGTTTGCCAAATTACATCTTATGGCTGTTGTAAAGTTCAGCTTCTGGTTTTTCCCTCTCTCGCCTTTACTCAACAAAGAAAGAACTTAGCAAATGTGATTTTCCAAACTTTTACTTAACATTAAAACCTTTTCTTAAGGCAGTCACTGTACAACACATTATTATGGATTACATATATTTAAAGCATGCAAATGTCTTATTTACGGTAATCCTAATCAGAATAAAATGACAATATTGTGAACCTCTTTCAAGTTAAAATGTTCAGCACAGGTACTTGCAGGTAAATCATGAACACACTTACAGTAGAAATTCTTAAATCCTCAATTTCATAAAACCTTCTGAAGAAAATAACGATATATCCCCAAAAAAAGAACAAAATCAGCAGAGTTTTTATTGTAAAGCCGGTGAGGTGCTGTGACTCTCAGGCATTAAAATGTGTTTTAGACTCATGGCTTGGAGCTGCTTTGTTGGTGGATTTGCCCGGGCTCATGACTCAGTATTGCTCATCGTGTAGGAGATGATTCGCCCGCCATTTCTGAAAACTCTTTCCCTTACTCTTTGTCCTCGCCTGTTTACTTGTATCTGCTGAACTGGTATATTTCCACATGTGTTTTCTGATCTTTTTGTCATGAGCAAAATACTCAGCATTTCATCCAGGTTACGTATCTTTTTAAATTACTTTGGTGAGTTTCAGAGTGTTTAGATGTTAGGAATTTTTAAAAGTGGGGGATGGGAAAAGGAGAGGCTTAGTTTCCCTCCAAAAAAAAACAACTTGATTTTTGATACCATTTTCTATTGTGTCATATAAAGCGTGATCCATCTGCTACACTTCCTGTCGGCTCTCACATGTAGAATGCATGACCTGATATGAAGTTAATGATTACTAAACGGCTTCCTTGTTGTAAACTCAAATCATTTAACATAGGTGTGTGTGCGGAGGTGTGGAGGGACGGAAATGACTTGCCTCCCCCGGAGAAAGTTATCAGCTATAAACTCAACCGTGTGTGACACCACTGCCCACGCAAAGCTGCTTTCAAATCTTTGATGTATCTCCGAGCTTTGATGATGCCTCCCCAACTTAAACAAAAGAGTAGGAACATGAGGAAGGTTTTAAACAATGGCTTCGGGATATAATTGAGTGTGTATAGCCACAAAAGAGAATAAGTGAAGGTCTTTAGTATGTATTTGTTTAGTGATTAATCACTAACTCCAGCCAAGGGATGGGCCGCTCATTCGCTATTCCAGGGCATTCTCTCGCGTCTTTTTTGTGTGTGTGTGAGGATGGGGGGGGAGGTTAGTAGTATGCTTGTAGTTGGTGCCTAAATCTTGTATGGGTTTTCCTAATATGGGCTGTCTTACAGGAGCTCCCTCCCTCTGTGGGCCATCCCCCCCAGGTCTTAGCCAGTGATGACACAGCTCGGGTACGACTCACTTCCTCATTAATTGGCTGAAACCAGTTCTTACAGGAACCGCCTGTGATAAATGTGAGAGTTCTGAGAAGTCATTCATTTCTCCCCACTGCAGCGGCAGAGGAGGCACTGCAGGGGAGTTGAACGGGTTCACCGTGGTGCGTGTGTGTGAGTGAGAGGAAGGCGTGTGTGTGCGAGAGGAAAGGAGAGGAGAGGAGAGGAGAGGAGAGGAGAACAGAGCGGGAGAATGTGGCTGACTACCGCTGCTGTTAGAGGACCGGACAACTTTATTTATCTTTATTTCATTTTTTCTTCTTTTTGTTTTTCAGCAGCACTGTTTTCTAGAGCTGTGGTATAGTCTGTGTTTTACTGTGTGTGTCGGGGGGGGATGTGTGTGTGTGGGGATGAGCAGTGACGGGATTGCACTCGTTGCCCCCTCTCTCTCTCTCTCTCTCTCTCTCTTATCCGAGAGAGGAAGCAGGGGGAGCGACACTGTACAGGACAGCATGCCTCCCTTTGTTGCTGCCCTTGGGCTGGTGAGTAACAATGACGTGACGTGATTTGTGCCTCCCCCCTTCCTCCCCTTCTACCCTCTCTCTCTCTCTCTCTTTCTCTCTTCTTCCTTTCCCTCCTTTTCCTCTCTTCTTCCCACCCTCTCTGTCTCTGTGTGTTGGTGGAGGCAGAGCGTTTCCACTGCTGGGTGCGGCACTGCAGAAGCCCTTCAGGGAGTACTTGGAGACCCAGAAGGCCAAGCTGCACCATCACGCCGGAGAGGGGATCCCGACTGTAAGTACAGGGGCCTCGACCCCCCAGCTCACGGCCCCTATTCATTCACGTGCGCGCGCCAAGACAAGAATGCGGCCCCCTTACTTTTGCCTCTTTCACTCCTTCTCCCTCCACTTTTTTTTCTGTCCCTTTCTTCTCTTTATCTGAGCCTCCCTTTATATCTCTGACCCATTTTCCCTCTCTCATGTTCTCACCCTCTCTACCTGTACCACTTGCTTTTTAATCAGTTTCATTTCTTTCTTTTTGTATTAATAAGAGAAATGTTGTAGACTTGACTATGCCCTGTAGTGCTAGAGTAGATTACAGGGGCTTGTTTAGGGCCAGAATAACAGAGTAGGTTAGCGCTGCACTGGGCGGGCTGGAGGGGAGGGCTCCTGATGTTGTAAAGAGTGTATCTGCAGCAGCGG